TTGAATGGGATGTCTTACTTTACCCGCCCTATATTCACCAGACGTTGCTTTTATTGGATTACCATTTGTTTCGGTCGACGGCAGCATGGTTTTTCTAAGAATATATCAAAGAATGGCTCGATGACTGGATCGCTTGAAAAAAAAACCTGAATTTTTCTACCGCGGCGGAATCCATTTGTCACCCGAAAAGTGAGAAAAGGTTCTAGCGTTCGATGGACAATATTGTGAATAAAGTATCAAGTACCTTTTAGATAAAATAAGCACGAGTTTTTTTTCTTTAGCAAAAAGCAGCGAGAATTAATTCAAGCGCCTAATAAGACGCTCATTGGTCTAGATGTTACGCTTATACTCTGTTATGCATTTCATGTGCGATAGGCTTTAGTGTCAGTTCGATGTCAGTGAGTAATAATTCCCATCATTTCATATCATAACGTTACACCAGCGGAAGCTTGCAAACGTGATGTGCATTTAAACCAAGTATGGGGTGTATCGTTAGGTACGAAGTATTAGCCGTATCGATATACCGAACAAAGCATTGTCAAGCGCTCATGACAAGACATTGACCCAGGCAAAGAACCGTTTGAATACATTCGATTATGCATATACATTTACATTGTATATATAGGTAAAATTAATTTTAGAGTCAGTACTTCCGGAAGAATTACAATTCACTTCAGGATGGCAGAAAATACAAAAGCCTGAATGGTAGGGATAATCTTCTAACAATGTAATAATGTAGCTCTGTACAAAGACTTACAAAGTATTTTATTCATCAAATTGTTACGTACTTTTACTTGTAAGTTAATCGGGAGTTTATGTAACTTCAAAAATAATTTTAACACCGACAACTATATAGGCAAAGTCAAATCAAGTTGAAGATGCTTAATTTATATTTCCTATACACTATAAAAAAAATTATATATAAACTTACACAGCAATTTACTGTAAGTAGTAGCTGTATTGAGTATTTTCTTTGTGAATCTTTGGTAAAATCCCTAAATTCTGGATAAGTTGGATTTACTGGAAAGTAATGAAAGGTAAATTATTTCTCTATTATTAGCTAAAATACGTAAAAGTTATCGTTCAGCTGTTGAGAAATAGAAACCTTATGTCAGTATTGTTTGATAAATTAAAACTCCCAGATGTATCGTAGACACAAAACAATTCTCGCAGACAGTTTTGTACATGGGATAATATAAAATGATTAGGAAGCTTGGATTGGGCATCGATCTTGGCACAAGACACCATTCGTCCAGGTTGTCCAGGTTGACGCTCAGACGTAGTCGTTTAATGCTCTTCTATATCGCTTGTTTGGCCGCGTACGAGCCGAGGCTTCTCCTTGAGATCCGCGCGCCGCCACGCCTCGTTTTGCCTCGCACGGCGTGTCCTACAAAACTCGTGGGGAATTAAACATCGAAGCATTTACGACGTCCTCTTTATCCGCTAGCGCACGTACACGCGCGTATGCCGCGTGCGCGTATGCCGGTTTCACTGAGGGACGTCGAACGGAGAATGAGATGCATATAGCTGCATTCCACGCGCGGTTGCGATCGTTCCTATCGTCGCGTCGATTGACCATTACGGATATCGTAAGAAATGTATCACTCTTTCCAGGAGCTTTTAGTTACATACTAAAGTCTGAAATGATATCTCTGAAGTCGCGAGTTCGTTCAATCAATTAGTATCACTTCTCTCTCTCTCTCTCCCTCTCTCTCAGTCTTAAAACTATATAATTTATAAATCAAATAATACAAAATTAGAGTTGTTACAGTCCAGCTGGTTGACATACGCTGATATTTTTTATTTCTTTATTACGTAAATTACTAAATCACGCATAAATTAAAGAATTCAATATTATATAATTAGATTTCGCTCGGGTTTTGCAATGCAAAGTATAGAGAAAAAAACGGTCAACTGATACACAAGGACAAATGAAGTAAAATAAAATGCGTTATCTAAAATTTCGAACAATATACAGCAGATTATGGAGTCAAAGAAGAACAAAATTGTAAAATTATTTCCAAATAAATGTTTGTGTTTATTGTAAAACTGCCGGTGTAGCAGGAAGGTGCAGCGCTACGAATTTCTCGCAGCAGCGGACGCATACTAAATTTTCGATCGACGAGAATTTACAGTAGCGAGACACGTATATACGTCTATGGGAGTAGGTGACAATGACGATGCCATAAGTATGCGAAAGAGAGCCAATGAAGCAGGGCCGATGGAAGCCGTAGTCTGTGATCAGCAGGAAGCTGTCTGGTGTAACGGTACCGGAGCGCGGCGGCTATTCCGCTTGCGGACGCCTCGCGCCTGAGCCGATATCGTCATGTCGTCACATGCCGATAAATATGAAGAGGAGTACAGACTTTGTCGCGGGACTTGTTCCCCGAGTGGCATGTCATCTAGATGGCAAGCATGAGAGTCGGACTGATTTATGCCAGGCTAGCACAACACAGACATGCAATTTTATCGCATTTGAGAATAACTGATACAAATGTTAACGTCATATGAGTTTGGTTACAAAAATATATTTATTATTCTATTAAAAATTAGTATTATCCTTTTTGATAATAAAGTATCGTCAATATTTTAATTTAGTTAACTTCTTATTATTTTCTAATATTCAATTCACTATTGAATTATTTCATACTTCGATGTCCGCCAAAGAGTTGTTCAGGATTGAGAAAAATACCGATCATTTCGTAGGTCCCTCAATCAAAATAATCTGCAAAGCTGGTATTACGTTAACCATTGTTGACACTCACAATCGCACGATTAGTAATCCAGGAATAAGATTCGTATGCTATTTCCCGATATCTCACCATTAACAATTACTTCATCGACGTGTATGAAAATAACAGTTATAATGTTTAACACATAACGCGGTTGAAGGTTTTTATTTCACACGTTTGAATTTGCATGTTTTAATCATTTGTGTTTAAACCTTATTAATGCCATTAAAGTGACAATCAGTATAGAAGAGAATAGTAATTGGTAGTTAAATAATCATTCTTTCTATTTAGAATATCCTGTACACCCTGTCAGAAAAAATTAATTTCCATGCGATTGATCGATACTGCGCGGATGGTGTTTTTTTACAGAATGTAATAGAAGAAATATTTCTCGACTTGCATCACGCATAAAGTCGTCATTGTCTTATAAACTTTTTAAGGATCAATGCTTTTCTCAATAGGAGAGGATAAGAACTTCCTCGATCCCGAGATGATTCATATCGCGCGTAAAGCATGATACAATGGTTTGAAATGCAAGCGGGACGGAGCGCAGCGGGCTCATCAAGGATACGACCGAGCTATACCGCACGGCGTAATGTGGGTAATACGTAATGAGGACTTTACACATTCCTGAACGTTGACCGGTTTCTCTGCTCGTCTCTTTCGCGCTTCTACTCCGGGGAAGACTTCTCTATGTTCGCGTCTCGCTTCAATCCTTTCTCCACTCTGCCTCGTCTCGCCGGCTTTGAGTCCAGTTCAGCGCGCGTGAATTCACGGACCGTCGGTAATTCACACCGAAACGATCATTAGTTCAGGCACTCACAACTTGTACGTTGCGCTGCTTTGTCCGTGCCCTTGTTGCAGATTAAATACGTTAACAATTATACACAATTATACATGAAAATTGTATCGGCAAGACGTAATGTATCTTTAATTGCACGAACTTTGCTATTAAAGTAATAGTTATGCAAAATATCGAATAAATGTCTGATATTTTGCACGACTGAAATATTTTCATGAAAAATGTTTCTTGATTTCTTTCTTCCTTGAATTCCCCTCACTACTGATTTTTCATTATTACTTTCTATCAGACTCGAAAAGACGATTCTGACACGCTCTACGAAGAATTCGCCATTCAGTTTTAAAGATTGGCCGCAATCTAGCTTGAATCCGGCTTCGCCTTTTAAGTTTCATTATAACGCTTATACACTTGTATGTAGTGTTTCGCGCGCCTGAATGTGTAAAGATGCACACAGTAACGTCGAGGTATGACAAACTTTAGGTGATGGAGGCAACAGTACCCTGTGGAATATAATTATACGTAGTGTACCCCATGTTGATTATAATCAATGTAAATTTCGTTGGATAACAACGGACTGTCGAGAAAAAACTGAACGTTTCTAGTCTGTTTGTGACTGTTCATAATTATTATATAGAAAAAGAACAAGGCAAGTCATATATTTAGATTATTATACAAAAGAGAATGAATTTAACTGAATAGTAAAATCCATGAAGAGAGATATATACGAGAGATATGAAATGAAAGTTTCATGAACGTAAAATACACAAGGAGTGACTCCTAGTGCCCTTTTCTTTCCAAGTTTGTATTTGATTTATACAGGAGTTCTTTGTTATTTAAAATTATTATACATGTTGTACATCTCATTATTATAAACGTGAAATCATTTTTATTGAGACACTACAAGAAATAATTACATAAATGTGATTGAATGATTATTTTTTTCAAATAATGAGCTATTCGCAATATATGCATCATTTTTTTAATCAAATAAATTCATCTAAATGTTTACTTCTAAAATTATCAAACATATACCTTTGTTCCGTAATTTGAAGATTACGTAACGATATTTTGCTCGAAATGTGAGCAGATAGTAAATATAATTTGTCCCTCAGGCAAATGTTTATCTAAAACAGATTAATTTTCGTCAGTAATCTATTAGTAATAATAATAAAATATGTACATACAACTTTTTTTGTACGATAACAATTCAATAAGTATTAACTTTAAATAAAAAGATTTCTGTGTACAATTATGAGTTAATTAAAACAAGATATTATATTCATCGAGAGAAAATGTATAAAGGAAAATATTCTTAATAATAAAAAATTGAATATGCATAAGCTCCATGAAATCATTTATTTTACCTCTTCAAGGGACAACACGTGATCAAGAAGTACATGGGGAGCACCAATAACAAATTTTTCTGTTTTTGAGTATCGTATAAGATGTTGCATTAATATTCTCACCTGAAACAGATTATTTTAAGGTTTGATATAAATAATAATAAATAGATAAAATTATAATTTACCTCATCAAGTTTAAACGAAGAATATATGTGGTTAATCATAATAATAAATGTTGCAACTGTACTAACTTCCCTATGAACAAGATGTTTTTAATTGATACGTGTAATATTCATTATACTTATATTAAAGAAGATGTATATAAAAAAATGATATTACCTTGGTTTTATTTTGTCATAATTATCTTTTATGTAATCAAATATTACATTTTCTTTTGCGTTTTTTGCAACAACGTACAAGAAACGATTAACACGTTTTCTGGTTAGCATATTTGCATCCTCACATTGATTTCCAGAATTACAATTTTCTGATGCATTATTTGTTAGGTTAATATAATTGTACATAGCATAAGCAGATCTACTGCAAGATACATATTTCATTATTGTCGTATCATTAGAATCTTTCCATTCTTTCAACATAAACAACCAAGCTTCGTCATTAGAGTCAGAGAACGAAAGACCGTTACAAAATACCCATTTTTTCCACCATGGTGAAATTCTATTTCCAAAAAATGAAACAGTCTATTAGAAAATTTATTTTTTATAATCTTGTATCTTGAGCAAATAATTTAACAGCTAGATAGAAAGAAACGTATAACATAAAAAATTGTAAAATTTATTACTTGTGCGAATGAAGATTTTCAAGATGATATTTCAACATAAGATAGGCATTACGTATACAATGCATTACGTTGAAAGTACATAACCATCTTGCAGCTTCTTGTCTTAAAGATTTAGTAAGGTCGTCATCCACAATATTTTCTTGAAACCCAATCTTATGAAGGAGTTTGATCAAAGCATATTTTATAGTTCCCTAAAAATTGTTAAATAATATACATTTTATATTTTTTAAATATGTTTTTAAAAGGAATTAAATGTAAATAGTCGCACACATGCGCGCGTGCACTTATTTTCTTATATTTTTCTATTATTTTCTTAAAAATAAAATGCGAATATACAAAGTACAATTTTAAATCTTGTCAAAAATAAACTCGGAGAGAAAAGGGCACTAGGAGTTAAGCGCAGATAAATTTACGCAAACGCTGATATATATCAAGCAAAACCTATAATTTATTACAATAAGGTTCATTTTTTAGCCATCAAACACAATGTAAATTACATAAATAAATTATAAATGAAAAATAACATAAAGGATCAAAAAATGATTAACCACAATGAGCTCCCCCACCACCGCCTATATTTAAAAATTCATATCTCGTTAACCATTGCGAAAATTGCAAAGTGGTACAGGATTTTTCAAATTAGTGAAGTCCATACTACCCTTATGCGATAGAATTTTTCATTACTTGTTAAACACCCTGTATATTATATTTTTTGAGATTTGCTTGAAATAATTTAATTGAAAACAACATTTTATATGAACTACATTAAATAAATACATTCTTATTGCGATATATATTAATATTATTATATAATGTTATATGTACCAGGAAATCATTACTTTCTGGAAACATAGAGTAAGGTGATATATATTCAAGACCTTTGAACATAGGAAACCATGCTACATAATCTGTTTCGTACTGTAGATATTCCGCAAGATTAAGAAATACGGACAATTGAAGTTGTCCAATATTAAGAAAATAAAAAGCATCATCAATAAGTTGAGCACGATTGAGAACATGTATATTTGTATAATTATTGATATCATTCAAGTAATTTGCAATGTTTCGCCAATTGTCAGTTTCATAATTAACGCGATAATATCCTGTTAAAAAAATATAAAATATTTTAAAAAGTAAATATAAATATAATTTGTTAAAAATATTTACCAGCTTGTTCTACATTGAGTATTATCCAATGAAAATTGCTATCGATTATATAATTAGTATATGATTTAGTGCGATCATTGGTTGGCTTTAGCCATATGACATCAGGATCCCTATACATTTCAAAATCGTGTTTCAATGTAACTCGTGTAACAGGTATCCATGGCTTTGTTTCATGCCGCAAATAATTATCTTCCACCGAAATCACCACTGATTTAGAATCATTCTTTGTCATTTTTAACACAGGACGTTTTGATGAATAAATCCAACTATCCATCATATCCTCTACATCAAAGCTATCCAGTAAATAATTTTTATATAAATATAACTGTATATAGAGGTCTCAGAACTTTTGTCCCAGAATTCTCATGGGTAGATAGAGTTGATTAAACGGACTTAAAGAGTCTTGTGCCATTTTGCAATTTTCGCAATAGTTAATGAAATATTTTTAAACATCGTTGAATAGTACGGTTACTGCCAAATATATATATATATATATATATGCAGCGAAATGGACTGTCTACTGTACACCATTGCGTTGATGGATGCGCAAGGAGTTATTTATTTATTAGACAACAAACGCGCAACCTTGCTTGGCAATGCTGAAAAAGAAAATACCTACTCGCGTTGGGTGGTCATATAATGCTGCGCGTTTGCATTTAGCGGTAAGCCGAGTGGATGCGCGTTTATTAAACGATTTTTAGAAATTAATAACTTTGTTAACTATTGCAAAAGTTGTAAAAAGTTGTACATGTAATTATATAATATATAAAGTATTTTTTACCGGCGATAAGATACTGTAGATGAATTCATTGTTTCCTGCAGAACATTCCAAAAATGAATGGGTGATGCCGTACTAAAAAAGAAAAAATGCAAAAGCCGTAGGAAGGTAAAAAATAATATTTTAATTGTTGAAAAGTATTCATATATATAATTTGTTTTATATCAAACCTCTTTGTAGAAAATAAATCTATCGCCTCTTTCGAAGAGATCCAGAATTTATCGGGATTCGTCGAGCTAAGCAAGAAAAACGTATTAATTATATTATAATTATAATATTATCAGACATAAAAGGATAGAAGATCAAGTAATTAAGAGAAAATTTAAGAAACTGATAAGAATAGAATATAACATGAATTTGTTTTGGTTAAATTCATTTTAACTCTTTCTCTATTCAATCAACCATAATATAGAAAAAGAAGAAGGAAACGATTATCTGTATCATTCCCTCTCTCTCATTTTTATTAACCACATTTGATATAGTGTTTAAACTTTTTGTTGCATAGGCCTAGGAATAGTGCGAATTTCTTTTATACATTAAAGAATACCATTTACAATGTCTGCTCAACAAAACATGACAGATATACTTATAATGTATATGTATAAAAATATAAATCAACCTTATTCTATATCGGTCATATTGGCATTTTATTAATTTTTTTGGATTTATTCATCTGAGCCTATTGATTATCTTGTTAATTTTAATATAAATAAAAAATATAATATGAAAAATAAAAGAAATACACTTTATGATCTACTTATTTTACGAATATTATTTCTCATATTTATTAAGTTTGATTTTTTAAATTAATCCTTAGTTATTTGTTACAATACTTACTACTTATCTAGAAAGCTCTTCACAGCACTATCAAACACTTCGGTTTGAACTGCATATCGTAACATACGCAATAAAGCAGGTCCTATGGAAATATACATAATAAAAAAGGTAATTATTTAATATAGGAGAACCTTCAGTCCTAATAATGAACTTGGTCTTCATATATGTCGTCAAAGTCATGATCCCGAGTGATCTTGAGAAAGCTACAACTATCGCTTATTATTCTTTAAAAAGTTATTAACGAATAAAGTCACATGTATTTAGTCACATCTGTTTAGTATAACTGGTTTAAAAAACCGATTATGCCTATCAATATTTATAACTTTCCACGCAAAACGAGGTTCAATTCAAGTCTATTTGTGTAGTTTTTTGATAACAGAATAGCTCTTTATAAAGTAGGGAGGGGGGGATGGAACTTGCTGTGTCCATGCTGTTCTACATATAACATAATGTATTTCCGAAACTTTTCAAATTCTCTTTTTTTGTTAAGAACTTCAAATGAACAATGGCTAAACTCTTCTGAAGATCATTCGAGGATCATGGTTAATATATAGTATCGTATAGTATCATGGTCATCATAGGGCTGATTTCTTTTATATTAAGCAATACCAAATCTTATTAGATCGTGAAAGTTTAAATTAATAAATACCAATGAAAACATGCCATAAAACTAGATCTCGAGTGCTGCTATACAATGCGTGTGAATTTATATACTAATACGTTTGTAAATTTTTAATTGCTCGCTGAATTGTTTTTTCAGACTTGAAATGCAACACGACTAACTTACCTCAGTGTTATCACGAGTTAAATTGACTAATAATTTAACAATTTTGATGTACTTTGCGCATTTTTCGATTTTCAAGTTTGATAAAACAATTCAGCGGGCAATTAAAAATCTACAAACATAGTATATAAATTCATACGCATTATATAATACATATAAAAGCACTCGAGATCTAGCTTGACCAATGTTCTCTCTACGGTATGTCATATCGGTATCTCATCTCATATATTAAATTACCATTAATTTTACAAGAAAAAATAAATGATTTTCAAATAATTTTTTTTCTTGTTTCTTTTTGCTTTTATATAAGTATAGTATAAATTAAAGTCTAAATGACGCGTATTTAATTCTTTAAAGTTGTTCTTGTTATTTACATTTTGCAATTTATGGACAAAAATATTAAACCTAATTTTTTAAATTCTACCTTTCAAATAATATTCAAAAGAGAAAACTGAATTGAGGTCAGAGGAAGTCTTGACTTCCGATGCAACGGGCTTCATGACGGAATCTAAACGAAGTGATTCTTGTTGAATTTGAACTACAAATAAATCCCATATATGAAATTTTGGATATATCTAAAAATGAAATTCTTGTATGATTAATTGATCGATGAATAATAAAAATTGATATTTGCATTATTTATATATTATATGTTCATATAATACATTAGCATTTTTTCTTATTGCTATCGTTAAAATTATACATTTGTTGAAGAAAAACAATCAGTATTTTTGATGGATAAATGTAATTTTTTTAAATTTAAAAACTTTCTATCATTAATTATGTATCGTATTAATAAGAAATATTGTTTCTACGACATTAGAAGCAAGCTTCATAAAGTACTTTTACTTTTATAATAATTTTTTTGTTCATTTAGTTTATTTAGTTCATTTAGTACATTTTTGGTACATAAATGATGCAGCGCCAAAAGTATTATATTTACTTTTATAATAATTTTTCTATTCATTTAGTTTATTTAGTTCATTTAGTACATTTTTGGTACATAAATGATGCAGCGCCAAAAGTATTATAATAATTATGAGAACCAACTTTATTAATAGCATCTGCTGCAAGTATCGTTGTCAGACCTTCATACAGCCACGCATCAGACCACCAAAGAGGGCTAATGAGATTACCATACCATTGATATGCTATTTTTTGTGCTATTAGACGCGCGACGTCTACTTTGCGTCCAACAGATTCGAATTCTTCATTACAGATAATAGCTGATTCCCTGAAAATCATTTGTCAATTTAATATCATTTTTTAATTTTTATCAAATAGTCCAGTCACTTTAGGATATTTAAAACACAAAAAGGTAAAAGTTTCGATTACGGGTATGACCAGTAAAGAATTTTGTAGAGAATTTTATTACCTTTTTTTTTTATTATGGGCCTACTTTGGCCGTAAAATTGATAGGAAAGATAATCGCGAAAAACCGAATTTAAGAATTTTTATGTAATTAAAATGATTTGAAACAAAGAGAGTGCAAGTTAATTATTTAAATTATATAAATTTCTTTATTGCAATTTCTTTTATTTAATCTGCACATCCTTATATTATGTAAAACATTAAATTAATACGTTTTCATTCACATTCTGTCTAATATCTTTTAAAATAAGAGCACGTATTTTCTTTAAATATCCTTTTGATTTTTTTATGTACAAAACATATTATATTAAAATATTTATTCTTAAAGTTATTATTTTTAATAAATTTTAATAGTTTGTTCTTTTATTTCTCTCTCTATTATCTATACATTATTTACGTTAAAAATTCAAAACTTTCTTCTGTCCACGAGGGCACAAATTACGGAATACGTGCCAGCGAAGAAGTATGTATTATAGTGTTTTCTGAAGTTAATACATAAAAAATATATCACAGTGTTCTATAATTAAGCAAATAATTAATGATATTAATACAATAACTTAACGTTTAACATTCTTCCTTTTAATTATATAAATTACCTATAATAAATAAGTCCCCAATATTCCACACCATTGCGTAGGAAATTTGGTATTACAACATGGTCCACTTTTGGAAGCTTTTGGAAACATAGCCATTCAGATTCGAAATATAAACTTATATTCTGAATAACTTTTTGTGCAAATTCTGTATCGAGTGCCGATTGTAGTGTACGATGTATAAATTTTATTTCTTTGACAGAAGTCCTAGGAAATTGGGTCAGCATGATCGCCACAAGATAAGTGGACATTACGGGAGTTTGATGGAAGTGTGTCCATTCCATGGTATTACTAACTCTACTTGTATTTCGTACTGGCATATTCGACAGTACCATATAATGATCAGAATGCTTTATAGAAATGTTAAAAGTTGCCTTAAATGATGGGTTATCGAAACATGGAAATACATGTCGAGCACCAATTGGATAACATTGTGTCGCAAGCATCCACCTGTAAAATTTCAATGATATTCACAAAACTGACAAATATACTTTGATATTATTCAATATTGTTTTTTTGGCACACATTAGAAATTATTGAGATATACGATATGTGCACATGTAATTAAACAAATTGCGAATAAAAAAAATATTTTAACATAATAATAGTATAATAATTTATTACTACATTACTATAGAGCATATTATACTTTTATTATAATATGATGTCTTTTTTCTATATGAAGGCGCCAAAAAGATAGGAATGAAAATTACCGCCGATTTTTTAAATTAAATTGTATGACTTTTTTTTCACAATAAGATTTCTCTAATTATTCTGCATATGAAAGTATTGAAGCAGAAATATCAAAAAATCATTTTATATTATATTATATATAATTGTAAAAACCATTGATTTATATGAAACATTTTATCATACTCTTTATTCTGACGTCAAATTGATGTCAAATATTAAGTATTTCGTAAACTACTAATTTTTTAATAATTGTTTGTATATCTTAATTTCTTCATAAATGAAATAATAATAAAGTGAATCAATTGGTGTGTGTAGAGAAAACACATAGATGCTTTGTTTAAAATATTATTCATTGTGTCTTTTATGTTTTTTCTAAAGTAGAATGTGTTTTCTTTGTACTAATTAATTTATCTCATTATTTTGTTCACAAAAGTATTAAAGAACAATTATAAAAAGATAAAAGTTAACGAGATATTTAATATTTCATATCACTATATATTATACTATAGAATATAATGTAAAATATTTTGTAAACTATTAGTTTATTGATATTTCTTAAAATTTTTACATTTGAAATAATTGGAAAGATCACATTATTATTATGTAAAAGAGTCAGACAAATTTATTCATTTAAAGGAGCGGAGGTGACTTTCAAAATACAAGTTTTGAAGTAAAAATCATGAAGTAAAACGACGTCTGAAACACACACACACACACAAATATAAATTTATTTAATTCAAAATATCTATTCTTTATAATCAATACAGCGACAATCATCTTCCGTTAGACGGTCACAGTAATTTAAATTTTTGAAATGTTGTCAAATGACTTAAAAAAATATGGAAATCTCAAACAATATCATCTATTTAACTTACTTGATTTATTTTTTACTATTATATTATACTATATATGTTGTTTCCAACACTGAAATTATAATTAAAAAGTAAAAAATTTGAAAATTTCAGAAATTTGAGTTCATGATTGTCATATAAATTAACAAAAAGGTTATTAAATATGATTCGCTTTAACAGCAAACGACTCGAAATCAAAGCATTGTGCAATTATAATCCTACTTTGAATAAAATATTTAAAATATTTTTTTAAACAGATTCTTCGTTTTATGCAATTTTTAATTCAAAATTTATGAATTGCACGCACATATTAACATTTACTTACTCATTATCTCGAATCAAACTTTTATAGCGCATCTCAAAAAAGTTTTCTTCATTATTCTCCAGAAAAGTAGAGAATGTTAATTTTAACGTATAATGTCCCTTTATTAGGTCTCTTTTGAAAGAGATAGCATACATATGATCAATAATGTTGTATGTAACGATAGCCGGTTCATTTGCATATGTTGAATTTCTTTTATACGCAGCGATTGTATATAATTCTATATATGGTCTTTGTGCGTGCAAATATATTTCACGCGATGTAAAAAGCAGTCTGAGGAAGATAAGGCAAGTACCATTAAACAATATTTTGTTACTTTCTTCATCCTGTTGTTCTAACGTAATCTCATAATGGTCTGGTCTCACGAAATTCGGTAAACGAAGTGCGTACAAGCTCTTAGGAAAATCTTGTTTCATATAATCAGATTTCGAATAGTTTAATATTAGTATAAGTAATAACAGTTTTGAGAGATTCATGCTGCGATCTTCGATTTATTTTATCTGTAAAAATGTTTCTTCATTATTAATAAAACGAATATTAACGTATGTACATCATAGAATAATTTTTACTGTAAGTTTTACTAAATAGTTAGATAAACTACACAATATTTAACAGGTACAATACATCTGTTGAACATTTAATAACTAATTATTAAGCACAAATACAAACTTATTATTGTGTGTTATTTGATAACATTTATAATTATATTATTAATAATTATATTATTGTTCATATTATGTAGATTATTTTCAAAATTTATGTTTAATACAGAAATTGATATTATTTTTAGTAAATTATTCGAATAACATAAATTTAAATCTATAATATAACTATGTAATGTAATTTAAAATGCTTTACATACTTTGTTGTACATTTAAGACTAGATTTTGCGAATTTATGTTTTTTTTATAACTTACCTTATATGTATTTCAGACAATTAAGATACATGCTTTGTAATAATTAACAATAGTAAACGATCGTTATCATAACAAACTTAGCATAATTGCAATCTTGCCAGTATGGAAGGACACCGCAAACTGATGATGATTCTTTTTCAATATTAATATTTTTATATTCTGTTTAGACAATAAACAAGAAGAAGGAAACCAATAACGGTCAAAACCGTTAATTATTATTATATTCTGTGCAGCGTTGACATTGATTAAGGTCATTAATAAATGCGATAGTGTCAATCATCCATCACATTTATTGTTGTATAAATATTTAATATCGTTATATGGCTAGATTCTTCTTGTTTGTTTGTGTTTATCATTTATACGGTCTTACAAAGATTTTAATATTTGTCAAAATTTAAAATTCAATATTTTTATATTTTTTCGTTTATTACTGTTTCTATTCTAATCCAAGTGATAGTAACTTTAATTTTTAAAATAATAATATCACAAAATTACGCTAATTCAAACAAAATTCATAAAGCAATGTTCTTTAATATGTCTTTCAACATATTATTAAGATCCAATAAGATGCTATAAGCATCAAAAATTTGTGGTATTACCACGGTAGTTAATTAGAGCTGTATTGTAAGTCTGAAGGATTTTCGGCACGCGTTTTAGGGGACTACATACGTGGTATATAAATTTCATACTTTAACATACCTTATATATGATCGCACTAATAACAGCGAATAGCTCTCATTAGCCTTTATATTCTTGTTATTTGAAATTTTTGACAGTCTACTTTAATTGATTTGTTTAATGTTCCTTAATAACTCAACTTAATTGATATATATATTTGTAACCTAATTTTTCTGTATATATATCTAAGATTTTTTAATTTTTAATTACATAATATAATAAATGGCGCTGCTATATCTTAATATTTACTTTTGCTCAATGAGCAGTTATACATATATTCATGTTCGTACCGACATTTTTACCGTGAGCTGCTGGCGTGTATGAAGCAATCGGTAAGGTGCAACATCCGACCTGTAAAAAGTATACGTACCTCGCGTGCTTGGCTGAGTGAGTTAATAAACGATGTAAATAACTGAAAAATATTTGCCAGCATTAAATAATATTCACAAGAGCGCTACAAACTTAGTTATTTATTTATTGATTACATTACATAATTTTTCTCACTTTTTTTGAGATATTGGATAGTAAATCTTATGATTATCCGGAAATATAGTATTAATATAGCCGAAAAAAAAAATATTTAATTTTGAGCTGACAGCGAAAGCATAAACAAATATATAATAATTTATGGCATGTTTATAACATAAGATATATTTGCACTAGTTATAATAAGTGATACATATGAATGGAAAAACGTAGTTATAGATGCATACGGAAGTAAAATATCTATTATTTTCATATCCCCATCGTTTTCGCTCGAAAAAACCAGGAAAGGAGTTTCCGCGTGGCTGTTGTTACGGAATTCACCGATGCTGAGGAACATATCTGCGATCGGGCTTTTAAGGTAAAGGAATGGCACGTAAAGTATACTAATTGAAAAAAATGCAAGTAGCAAAAAATATAGATAATACATTCGCATTAAAAATAACAAAAATTATAGTTTTATATTTTATAAATTTATCATACAACATTTATTGAAAAGCTTATATATGGATTGTTTATATAAAAATCTTATATGCTAGCTTCTTGCTTCATATAATATATTTTTTGTTTATTCTAATAGGATATAATCTTTTTCTCTCTTTTGCAAGTAAAAAATATTTTCTTACGTATTATGTTTAATATGCCAGTCATTTGTCAAGTTTTTAATTTAAGAATAGCTAAACGATAAAACGTTGTTAATTAGATTTTAGATTGTTTTCAAGCAAAGCTAGTGCAGCATGCAAATATGTAGGAATGATGGAAGACGGATAGACGAAGATGCGATAAAGTCGAGCATTGGACGAAGAAGAAAAGGAGAAATGGAATTTAGCGAATGAGGCCGCTGCTATTAGAGGCAAACGATTGCGCTCTCCTGGCAAGTTGCTTTCAAATACCACGGAATGACGGAAAACGGTATCCATTCACATTCCCGTAGTGACTAACTCGCGTTGTTTCTTACGTGACGCACATGCACGTGTGCTCGAAGCGGTCACATATTGCGGGATTAAAATATTGAATTAATTTATGCAGATTTTTATTTATTATTTTGTCAAATACATACAAAGAATAATATAGTATTATTTTTTCAATTGAAAAAGAATCTTTTCTAATGTAATTAATTCGTTTTGTATATATTTGTGGTTCTGATATTAACTAAAACTAATTTCTAGCGTATAAAACTTAATGAAACACTAGACAATAAAAACAAAAATATAAATTATAGAAAATATCTTTCTAGAAGATACAAACAAAAATAGTAATAATAAACTTATTTATCAGAATGCAAATAAAATTATTTTTAATGTAAATAATTTACTTTAGTGGTACATCGTAATTTTTATACTAATTGTAAGTGAATAAATTAATTTATAATACATAAAATTTAATGATACACTTCTTAAAATGATCCATGTTTCTTATATTAACTGTTAAGATAAAAAATATCTTTCACACACTCGATTGTCACGTCGTGAACAAGAAGTAGAGTGAAATTATTTTAACATGATTGATTTAATTTTTAAGTAATTATATATTTATACTAATTGCTGCACTTGATAAAGAGACGATAGCAGGGTTTCTCTGGCCGGACCAAAGTTATAAGCGGTTTATCATCACGCATGGTTATCCACGTGTCCGAATTTAATCGTATCATATAAAAATCATCGCGAGATGGAACAACAGCCTGATTAAGCGATTGATACTTGTAATCGATAATTCCATTCATGTAACCGCTGTTTTTACACACGTTTACTGCCTCCTCCTGTGACGTCACTTCTGACGGATAACATAGAGTGTGCCATACGCCGTAGGAACGTTGCATTACTTTGCCTGCAGCAGATCTGAGAAGCAATTCAGCATAGTTACGTGAACGTGTGTTCGTTACTCCATTTCGTCGACATTTAATAATATTTTATATCATCCGTACAGCAATGATACGGTGTAGTTTATTCCAGTTAATCTCACCTATCTGTGAGTTGTTGTATCCTTGTGCAATCCGTTTCGTCTTCACCATTCGGACAATCATTGTCGCCATCGCACACGAAATCTTGCGAGATGCAAGTAAAATTTTTGCTCTCTCTGCACATATAATGTACATTTGTGTATACATATAATTACTGATCGTAAAATACAATTTTTACAAGATTTTTCATTTAACTTTCGAAGCGCTGGTCAGATTGCACCTCCCAAAACTGCTGTTAATTATGCACTTTAATTGCATGCGGATAACTCGACTAATTTCAAGTCATATTGCAGACACTGTTATGTTATACGATATGAAAAGTGCAGTAAATGTGCTATAAAACTGTATTTATTCTGCGCTGATTATATGCACTTATAATGCGCTTTTTATAGTGGATTTTGAAAGCGCTTTTAAAACGTTAAAAAGCTGCTAAAGGCTGCGTTCCGTTTCAGACATATGCATGTATTTTATATAGTAAGCGTCACGTATACTATAGGAGAATGCGCGCATATGCGTGAAACGGAACGCAGCCAATGTAATGCACCTGCATACGCGCTTTTTTAGCGCTTTTTAAGCGCTACTGTGCTACATGGGCGTCAAAATTGAAATTAGAGCATTGTCCAAAATTACCCCTGCGAAAAATAGATTGTTCCGCGAAATCCACACGTATCCCCTTATTGAATCCAGCCCCTCAATTATAACTATTGTAAGTTATTATTACTCTATGAATATATGTTTCGTCTATTCAAGAATCGCGAGAAAGTATAACACAGTGAGCTACATTTCTTTTTGACACTAGATTATTTCACTCGCTCTATATGCATATATTTCTCATTATGCTTTATATCAAATTTTTTATGACTGTGTCAATTTAAAGATTTCTTGTTAAAATATCTTGTTAATATTTTATTACAGAACTACAGAATATGAAGTTCAACATCCTGAATTGCAAGATATTGATGTGATTGAATTGTCACCGTAACTCTGTATATCATTACCCTGACTCCTCCAATAAAAAATGAAGCAACCGTGACTATTCATAGCTTTTTCAAAGAAGCAGAACCATTTGAGACCGGTCTATGATTTAATCAGCCATACTTTTTAAAGTTTTGCTCACAAATTTTCATACATCTTTTGAATTAAGGGTGAGCAAACGAAAATTCCCACTGAGCATTCGTGAGAAAACGATGAGCAAACGAATGCATGAAGAAAAAAAATCGATTTTTTAATATTGGGGGGCCAGCTTCACACGGGTCAAAGGAGGTATATTAAATTTGTATTAGCTGCAGAAGTAACTCCAAAGAAAGTTGAAGCGTTCTAAGGTTTATTATTTTATTTAATTTGAAATAAAAAAAAGAAATAATTTGAATAAATCCACTTCTTATTAATGTGCATACCAATAACAACGCTGCACTCTCATCATCCCTAATTACTGGATTTCATATATATTAGTTTTAATTTATTTAATATGTAAAGTTATATATGTATACTGAAAGGATAACCTAATGTAAAGGTCGAAACGTTCAACACTGATGTTTATTATTAAAGCAATATTTTTCATATTGATATCCGATGCTTATATCCTTCTTACAGATAATTATTTAATATTGTATTATCAATCTTACCTGTTGCATTTGAAACTGGCATTGGTGCATTGACATTCTTCTGGCGATTCATCCGTTTTATCGAGACAATGTCGTACTCCGTCACACAATCGTTCTGGCGTAGTTAGTTTTAAATATTCTGCGCAGCTACATATTACAGGCTCATCCGCTCCGTTCGAGCAATCCACTTTTCCATCGCAAAATGCACTCTTTGAGATACATTCACCATTTCTGCATCGTATTTCTGACTTTGCGCATTCTACACAAAAATGCATACTAATTGTAAGAATATACGCATAAAAAAGAATTATTTAACAATTAATTAAAAACTAAGTTAATAAATTTGGTGACACCGAAAATGTTCTACCAAGTTTCTGTGAAAAATGAGATTGAAACGCTTAAACAAACGCGTTATATCTCTAACAATAAAGAAGACTATAAAAGATTCAATATTATTTTAAAGTACAACGTCCAATCATTAATTTGACCCTCTTTGAAATCTGTCGCAGATTGGGTTAGTCAGCTGTAAATTTAAAGAAAAAACAGCAAAAAATAATCAGAAGCACGTTTTTCAGGCGTTTCATTCATCTTATTTTTCTCAAAAGCTTGATATGATGGATCAGTTTCATTAAAGGAGTTGGATCTAGCTGTTTAAAAATTATGGGGGAAAATACTCTTCTTTTCAAAACAGCACAAAAAATCATATTGCAGATCTGTGTTAATTAACAATTCTACTTATTGTTAGTAAAAAACATGATAGCAGCAACTAGGTACATATTACTCTGCACAGGTAATCATTATACAAATTTATATGTATATAAAATTAATGCACATGCAGAATTGCAATAACTACAAAATTTAATATACCGTCTACATTAATTCTATTATACATTATTCCAAATTATTTACTATTGTTGGTCTCGTTTCTTCTTCTAATTTGTTGCATTTGTAAACACATCCCATTCTTCTCATCCGCACCGTCTCGGCAATCCATCACACCGTCGCATACCTGATTCCAAGAGATGCATTGTCCATGGTTGCATCGAACACCGTCACATGCGGCTTCAGGCGTTGATTCCGACACTTCCTCTATAATACCAAGATGGAAAAATTCAATTATGTTAGATTATTTCATCGTTCTATATAAAAATACCACAATCGTAAAGTATATTGGATGACTAAAAATTAATGGTGTAAACGTGTCTTTATATCTGTGTAAGATAACTTACCCAAAGCTTGCGTAAGATAAGCATGGATGTAATCAATGCTTATCAAGTTCCGCGTGCTTCTGAAGCTGCACGGACCGTCTTTTTCTTGAAACGCAGCCACGAGATACCATCCTTTCTTGCTGCGACAAAACACTGTGCCGCTCCAATTCGAAGAAGTTCCATTGTTCTAAACACATGCGAAAGATAAAGTCGAAATTTAATTATTACATATACTTTGTTCATTGTTATTTCGATTCTTATTACGAAGCAGACATTCGGTGCCTGAAGCTTCGACGAAACAACGATAGCACTTGTCGCAATTTTGGAGGACTGGTTGAAGAAAGACCGATCGTGTCACACGTTCGTTGTCTGTACCGATTGCTACACATAAATCATCTTTTGCCGGTGGATATATTCTGCGAAAATATTTAACAAATAGTTATATATGAAAGAAAACAATATGTAATAACGAATATATAATCAATATACACACTTCTTCTCTAAAAACAGCGGTTGCACGTAACGTGTATGATTTACTGCAGTTTTCAAGTGAAGCAACGAGACATTTGTTCTTTTCACATCCCTGATTTCGTCAACGACCGATATCTGTTGATGAGGTCCGTCCACGTAAAGAAACGAGCGACTTTGGCCGAGCAGAGCCGTCGTATAATTCACTGATAATCTGCAATTTATTCTTCATCATTATACTTATACGAGTATCCTTTCATCGATATTTATCGAGAGAATCTGATGAAATATAATTGTAATGAAGAATTATTAAATTGGACACAATTCTTCGTTCGACAAAATTGCACGAAAAGAACAATTTCACTGAAATATAATTAAAAATAGACGCTGATATGAAAATAATTTTATTATTATTACTGTCAAAATAATTATTATACGTATAAAGAATTCAAACATGATGAGCAATGCTGCAAGAAGATATTCTAACAATCATCAATTTTTGAGTGTCTTGCATAATTATTATAAATAATTCAACAACATTTTTTTTAGATTTATATAATTTTTTATATTTTTTGAGAACAAAACTCTTCTTTCTGTGTGCATTTTTGAGATAAGAAGGTATTTCGAAAGGAAAACAGGATTTACTCACCTGATATTTTCCGTGCAGCTCGAACTGGACAAGAGCCAGTCTGACTCTAAGAGTAAGGCCGAGCAGTGATAACGACCGTCGACGAATATGGCTGCCAGCCACGGCCACAGGTAGGTATAATTTCCGTTTCTCGGACCACATGCGAATCGGCGCTGCTGCTTAAAACCGGTTTACAGCGAAACCGTAATGTTGTACACGTCTCGCTTCCCTCACTCTCTGCGACGTCCTGAGGTAAAGATTTGTAACTCGTCGTGTTGTCCCACTTTCGTGAGAACTTTGTTTCTAGTATCGTTTTGTTCACAACAACCTTATCCAATGATTGCAAACCCCTGCAAACAATTTATATTTTCCACACTTATTCTTTTTTTATTATTCATACATACTAATATAGTAATTATTCGTATATACGAAAATAGTAATAATTAACGTGTTCAGAAAATTATACATAAATTGTAAATAAATCGGTTATTTTAGAAGCTTTATAAATAAATTTTTGTTCAAATTGAAATATCTGGGATTTAACAAAATCTGAAGAGAGAAATAGATACATAATTGTCTAAAATATTACATTAATTAAGCATTCCTTTCCCAAGATATCAGATTCACAGAAAACAGTGACTTATAATGACTTACATTTTCCTTATATTAAATTATTGTACAATAAAAATATACTCAACAATGAATTACTTTAGCGAACTGAAATTCAATATGTTACAAATTTGCTTTTTTTATAAATTGAGTAGACTTTTTAAAAATCAAGTTAAATATTTTTGAACATTTGATAGTCAAACGTACGTAAATCCGAAATATCTGCACATGTTCTCTCCTATATTATCGACGTTTTTGTGTTATTCTCTAATATAACTGTCTGAGGGCATTCTACATGCCATGTATCGTTATAATATCTATTCAGTAAACCTTCCGTGTTTAAAGCGGACCAATTATCGCTATCCACATTAACGTATTCCCCGTTTGTCAATGCAACTGAAAAAGGACATTGCTATTTATGTCATTTGACATTTTTTTAGACAAATATTATGTAAGACACAAACTCACTGCAGTCAAGCTCGTCCTCCCTTAAAGAGCAATCGAAATTTCCGTCACACCTTTCCGTCATCGGGATGCAACCTCCACTCCTACTGCAACGAAACTTGTTATTGTTGCACATACCTGAAATGATCGTTTCGTTAGATAGGTAAAATCAACGGCGAAATTACGAATGTTTGAATACCACAATATTTTTCGTCCGTTTCATCATCGCAATCCAGATGTCCACCGCAAATTGCCGTGGGGTGGAAATTCAACAGATAATCTCTGCATGTACAGTCTTCTTCATCAGTTCCGTCCTCACAGTCTAAGTGTTTATCGCATCTTTTATTGATTTTTATAGTTTGGATTAGACTGGAAATGAGATAACACTAATTCAAAAGTCTGAATTTTAATTAAATCTTAATTTTAATGTCAAATAGTTCAATTTTTCTTTTGATATATATATATATATTCAAATTTGGATTATACCTACTTATTAAAATATACTTATTTGTTAGAGCATTCATTCATTTTTACAAGTTTTGTTACTTTCTTTAAAATTAATTAAGTGCAAGCAATTATATCAATCTTCTTTTTGTTATACACGTATATATAAAAATTGGATTATTTATATTAAAATATACTAAGTATTTATTAATTTTTATACAGACTATGTTATTTTGATTTCTTGAAATTAATTAGTGTCTTTCAATTAATATAAATTAAATAGGTCCTACGAATCTAATGTCAGCTTTGGAGGATTAGTACTGAAATTTATAGTATTTCGTAACCCACTTTGTGCAGGTAAATGTTGATCTAATGTTCGACGTCGTTGTTTTAGGCGTTTTCGCGTAGGTACCCACAATATTTGAATTTTCATTATTGTAAGTCTGTATTTCTGTCTGATAGAAGAAATAGGAAGAAGTTGAAACAGGAATTGCTTCCGTGTCCACTTCTGCTGTAACATCGAAATCGATTAAATTTTAGTATTACATAACCAACATAAAATTCATTTTCAATTATTTTATTAAGAATCCGAGGCTTGACAATTATAAAAGAGATTAGTATAATTTATCGGATATATAAATATATAATATATATTATAGGATCAATGCTTTTCTCAATAGGAGAGAATAAGAACTTCCTCGATCCTGAAGATGATACATATCGCGCCTAAAGTATGATACAATGGCTTGAAATGCAAGCGGGACGGAGCGCAGCGGGCTCATCAAGGATACGACCGAGCTATACCGCACGGCGTAATGTGGGTAATACGTAATGAGGACTTTACACATTCCTGAAAGTTAACCGGTTTCTCTGCTCGTCTCTTTCGCGCTTCTGCTCCGGGGAAGATTTCTCTATGTTCGCGTCTCGCTTCAATCCTTTCTCCACTCTGCCTCGTCTCGCCGGCTTTGAGTCCAGTTCAGCGCGCGTGAATTCACGGACCGTCGGTAATTCACACCGAAACGATCATTAGTTCAGGCACACACAACTTGTACGTTGCGCTGCTTTGTCCGTGCCCTTGTTGCAGATTAAATACGTTAACAATTATACACAATTATACATGAAAATTGTATCGGCAAGACGTAATGTATCTTTAATTGCACGAACTTTGCTATTAAAGTAATAGTTATGCAAAATATCGAATAAATGTCTGATATTTTGCACGACTGAAATATTTTCAAGAAAAATGTTTCTTGATTTCTTTCTTCCTTGAATTCCCCTCACTACTGATTTTTCATTATTACTTTCTATCAGACTCGAAAAGACGATTCTGACACGCTCTACGAAGAATTCGCCATTCAGTTTTAAAGATTGGCCGCAATCTAGCTTGAATCCGGCTTCGCCTTTTAAGTTTCATTATAACGCTTATACACTTGTATGTAGTGTTTCGCGCGCCTGAATGTGTAAAGATGCACACAGTAACGTCGAGGTATGACAAACTTTAGGTGATGGAGGCAACAGTACCCTGTGGAATATAATTATACGTAGTGTACCCCATGTTGATTATAATCAATGTAAATTTCGTTGGATAACAACGGACTGTCGAGAAAAAACTGAACGTTTATAGTCAGTTTGTGACTGTTCATAATTATTATATAGAAAAAGAACAAGGCAAGTCATATATTTAGATTATTATACAAAAGAGAATGAATTTAACTGAATAGTAAAATCCATGAAGAGAGATATATACGAGAGATATGAAATGATAGTTTCATTACGTAAAATACACAAGGAGTGACTCCTAGTGCCCTTTTCTTTCCAAATTTGTATTTGATTTATACAGGAGTTCTTTGTTATTTAAAATTATTACACATGTTGTACATCTCATTATTATAAACGTGAAATAATTTTTATTGAGACACTACAGGAAATAATTACAAAAATGTGATCGAATGATTATTTTTTACAAATAATGAGCTATTCGCAATATATGCATCATTCTTTTTTATCAAATAAATTGATCATTCTAAATATTTACTTCTAAACTACGAAACATAAGTTTTTGTTCCGCAATTTGAAATTTACGTAACGCTATTTTGCTCCAAATGTGAGCAGATAGTAAATATAATTTGTCCCTCAGGCAATATTTTAACTAAAACAGATTAATTTTCATCAGTAATCTATTAGTAATAATAATAAAATATGTACATAATAATTTTTTTTGTACGATAACAATTCTATAAGTATTATCTTTAAACAAAAAGATTTCTGTGTACAATTATGAGTTAATTAAAACAAGATATTATATATATCGAGACAAAATGTTTAAAGGAAAATATTCTTAATAATAAAAAATTGAATATGCATCTAAGCTCCATGAAATCATTCATTTTACCTCTTCAAGGAGCACCTCGTGATCAAGAAGTACATGGGGAGTATCAATAACAAATTTTTCTGTTTCTGTGTGTCGTACTATAAGATTTTGCATTAATTCCCTCACCTGAAACAGATTATTTTAATGTTTGATATAAATAATAATAAATAGATAAAATTATAATTTACCTTATAAAGTTTAGTCGAAGAATACATGTGATTAATCATAATAACAAATGTTGCAACTGTACTAACTTCCCTATGAACAAGATGTTTTTAATTGATACGAGTAATATTCATTATATTTATATTATTATGTTGTTCTATCTTATCAATATTCATTATATTTATATTACATTTATATTAATAAAGATATATATAAAAAAATGATATTACCTTGGTTTTATATTGTCATAATTTTCTTTTATGTAATCAAATATTACATCTTCTTTTGAGTTTTTTGCAACAATGTACAAGAAACGATTAACACGTTTTTTGGCTAGCATATTTGCATCCTTACATTGATTTCCAGAATTACAATTTTCTGATGCATTATTTGTTAGGTTAATATAATTGTACATAGCATAAGTAGATCTACTGCAAGATACATATTTCATTATTGCGGTATCATTAGATTCTTTCAACATTAACAACCAATCTTCGTCATTAAAGTCAGAAAACGAAAGACCGTTACAATATAGCCATTTTTTCCACCATGGTGAAATTCTATATTTCCAAAAAATGAAACAGTCTATTAGAAAATTTATTTTTTTATAATCTTGTATCTTGAGCAATTTAACTGCTAGATAGAAAGAAACGTATAACATAAAAAATTGTAAAATTTATTACTTGTGCGAATCAAGATGTTCAAGATGATATTTCAACATACTATAGGCATTACGTATACAATGCATTATGTTGAAAGTACATGCCCATCTTGCAGCTTCTTGTCTCATAGATTTAGTAAGGTCGTCATCCACAATATTTTCTTGAAACCCAATCTTACGAAGGAGTCTGATCAAAACATATTTTATAGTTCCCTAAAAATTGTTAAATAATATACATTTGATATTTTTTAAATATGTTTTTAAAAGGAATTAAATGTAAATAGTCGCACACATGCGCGCGTGCACTTATTTTCTTATACTTTTCTATTATTTTCTTAAAAATAAAATGCGAATATAGAAAGTACAATTTTAAATCTTGTCAAAAATAAACTCGGAGAGAAAAGGGTACTAGAAGTTAAGCGCAGATAAATTTACGCAAACGCTGATATATATCAAGCAAAACCTATAATTTATTACAATAAAGCTCATTTTTTAGCCTTCAAACACAACGTAAATTATACATAAATAAATTATAAATGAAAAATAACATAAAGGGTCAAAAGATGTTTAACCACAATAAGCTCCCAGACCACCGCCTATATTTAAAAATTCATATCTCGTTAACCATTGTGAAAATTGCAAAGTGGTACAGGATTTTTCGAATTAGTGAAGTCCATTCTACCCTTATGCGACAGAATTTTTCATTACTTGTTAATCACCCTGTATAATATTTTTTGAGATTTGCTTAAAATAATTTAATTGAAAACAACATTTTATGTGAACTATTTTAAATCAATACATTCTTATTGCGTTATATATTAATATTATTATAAAATGTTATATATACCAGGAAATCATTACTTTCTGAAAACAAAAAGTAAGTTGATACAGATTCAAGACCTTTGAACATAGGAAACCATGCTACATAATCTGTTTCGTACTGTAGATATTCCACAAGTTTACGAAATACGGACAGTTTAAGTTGTTTTCTTTTAAGAAAATAAAAAGCATCATCAATAAGTTGAGCACGATTAAAATATAATTTGTTAAAAATATTTACCAGCTTGTTCTACATTGAGTATTATCCAATGGAAATTGTTAACGATTACATAGTTAGTATATGATTCAATGTTATCATTGGTTGGCCTTATCCATATGACATCAGGATCCCTATACATTTCAAAATCGTGTTGCAATGTAACTAGTGTAACAGGTATCCATAACTTTGTTTCATTCCGCAAATAAGTATCTTCCACCGAAATCACTAATCTAGAATCACTCTTTGTCGTTTTTAACACAGGGCGATATTTTGATGAATAAATCCACCTATTCATCACTTCTATTACTTCAACCCTATTCAGTAAATAATTTTCATATAAACATAACTATATATGTATAGGGGTTTCAGAACGTTTGTTCCAGAATTCTCATGAGTAGACAGAGTTGATTAAACAGAGTTAAAAAGTCCTGTACCATTTTGCAATTTTCGCAATATTTAACGAAATATTTTTAAACATCGTTGAATAGTACGGTTTACTGCCAAATATATGTTTATATGCGGCAAAATAGGCTATGTCTACTGTACACCATTATGTTGCTGGATGCGCAAGAAGTTATTTATTTAAAAATAATCAATAAGTTAAACAATGGCGATAAGAGTCAAATTACATTTAAAATCTAAATAACTCTGATAATTTATTCTAATATATTGGGAAGAATATCACTTATTATTTATTTTTTCATTAGACAACAAACGCGCAACCTTGCTTGGCAATGCTGAAAAAGAAAATACCTACTCGCGCTGAGTGGTCATATAATTCTGCGCATTTGCATTTAGTGGTACGCCGAGTGGATGCGCGTTTATTAAACGATTTTAGAAATTAATAACCTCGTTAACTATTGCAAAAGTTGTAAAAAGTTGTACATGTAATTATATAATATATGAAGTATTTTTTACTTGCTATATGGTACTATAGATGAATACATTGTTTTCTGCAGAACATCCCAAAAACAATTGGCTGTTGCCGTACTAAGAAAGAAAAAATGCGTAAGCCGTAGGACGGTAAAAAAAAATATTTGAATTGTTTAAAAGTATTCATATTTAATTTGTTTTATGTCAAACCTCTCTATAGGTGATTCTAGCTCATCTTCCGAAGAGATCAAGAATTTACCGGAAAACTTCGAGCTAAGCAAGAAAAACATATTAATTATATTATAATTATAATATTATGAGACAAGAAAATATAAAAGATCAAGTAACTAAGAGAAAATTTAAGAAACTGATAAGGATAGAATACAACATGAATTTGTTTTGGTTAAATTTCTTTTAACTCTCTCTCTCTCTCTCTCTCTCTCTCTCTCTCTCTCTCTCTTATACATTAAAGAATACCATTTGCAATGCCTGCTCAACAAAACATGACAGATATATAATGTATATGTATAAAAATATAAATGAGTCTTTTTCTATATCGGTCTTATCGGCATTTCATTAATTTTTTTTGGATTTATTCGTCTGACCCTATTGACTATCTTGTTAATTTAAATATAAATAAAAAATATAATATGAAAAATAAAAGAAATACACTTTATGATCTACTTATTTTACGAATATTATTTCTCATATTTATTACGTTCGATTTTTTAAATTAATCCTTAGTTACTTGTTACAATACTTACTAAAAATCTATAAACTTCTTCATAGCTCTTCCAAACATTTCGTTATTAACTGCATATCGTAACATACGCAATAAAGCAGGTCCTATGGCAATATACATAATAAAGAAGGTAATTATTTAATATAGCAGAACCTTCAGCCCTAATAATGAATTTGATCTTGACATATGTCGTCAAAGTCATGATCCTGAGTGATCTTGAGAAAGTTTCAACTATCGCTTGTTATTCTTTAAAAAGTTATTAACAAATAAAGTCATATCTATAATTAGTATAATTGGTTAAAAAAATCGATTATGTCCGTCAATATTTACAACTTTCCACGCAAAACGAGGTTCAATTTGTGTAGTTTTTTGATAATGAAACAGCTCCTTATAAAGTAGGGGAGGGGGATGGAACTCGCTGTGTACACGCTGTTTTACATAAAATATAAGGTATTTCAGAAACGTTACAAATTCTTTTTTTGTTAATAACTTTAAATGAATAATGGCTAAAATCTTCTGAAGATCATTCGAGGATCATGGTTACAATATAGTATCATATAGTATCAAGGTCATCATAGGGCTGATTTCTTTTATAATAAACAATATCAAATCTGATTGGACCGCGAAAGTTTAAATTAATAAATACCAATGAGAACATGCCATAAAACTAGCTCTCGAGTGCTGCTATACAACGCGTGTGAATTTATATACTAATACGTTTGAAAATTTTTAATTGCGCGCTGAATTGTTTTCTCAGACTTGAAATGCAACACCACTAACTTTCCTCAGTGTTATCACGAGTTAAATTGACTAATAATTTAACAATTTTGATGTATTTTGCGCATCTTTCGATTTTCAAGTCTTAAAAAACAATTCAGCGCGTAATTAAAAATCTACAAACGTAGTATATAGATTCATGCGGATTATATAATACATATAAAAGCACTCGAGATCTAGCTTGACCAATGTTCTCTCTACGGTATGTTCTCATCTCTTATATTAAATTATCATTAATAAATAAATGATTTTCAAATAATTTTTTTTCATGTTTCTTTTTGCTTTTATATAAGTATAGTATAAATTAAAGTCTAAATGACGCGTATTTAATTCTTTAAAGTTGCTTTTGTTAGGTATTTACATTTTGCAATTTATGAACAAAAATATTAAACTAAATTTTTTAAATTCTACCTTTCAAATAATATTCAAAGGAGAAAACTGAATTGATGTCAGAGGGAGTATTGACTTCCGATGCAATAGGCTTCATGACGGAATCTAATCGAAGAGATTCTTGTTGAATTTGAACTACAAATAAATCCCATATACGAAATTCTGGATATGTCTAAAAATGAAATTTTTGAATGTGATTAATTGATCGATGAATAATAGAAATTGATATTTGCATTATTTATATATTATATGTGCATATAATATATTAGCATTCTTTCTTATTGCTATCGTTAAACTTATACATTTGAGAAAGAAAAACAGTCAACATTTTTGATGGAAAAGAGTAATTTTAAAAAATTTAAAAAGTTTCTATCATTAATTATGTATCGTATTAATAAGAGACTTTGTTTCTACGATATTAGAATCAAGCTTCATAAAGTGCTTTTTCTTTTACAATCATTTTTTCAGTCATTCAGTTTATTTAGTTCAATTAGTACGTTTTTATAAATGATGCAGCGCCAAAGGTATTATAATAATTTAAGAAAACCAACTTTATTAATAGCATCTGTTGCGAGTAACGTAGTCAGACCTTCATACAGCCACGCATCAGACCACCAAAGAGGACTAACGAGATTACCATACCATTGATATGCTATTTTCTGTGCTATTAGACGTGCGATGTTTACCTTGTGTCCAACAGAGTATAATTCTTTATTATAGAGAATAGATGATTCCCTGAAAACCATTTGTCAATTAAACATCAGTTTTTAATTTTTATCATATAGTTCAGTCACTTAAGGATATTTAAAACACAAAGAGGTAAAGGTTTCCATTACAATTACGATCAGCAGAGAATTTTGTAGTGAATTTTATTACTTTTTTTTATTATAGGCCTACTTTAGCCGTAAAATTGATAGGAAAAATAACCGCGAAAACTGAAATTTTAAGTATTTTTGTGTAATTAAAAAGGTTTGAAACCAAGAGAGCGCAAGTTAATTATTTAAATAATATAAATTGTAATTTCTTTTATTTAATCTACATATCCTTATATTATGTAAAACATCAAATTGATAAGTTTTCATTCACATTCTGTCTAATATCTTTAAAAATAAGAGCACGTATCTTCTTTAAATATTCTTTTGATTTTTATTATGTACAAAACGTATCATATTAAAATATTTATTCTAAATGTTATTATATTTTCAATAAATAAGTTTGTTCTTTTTCTCTTTCTATTATTTATACATTTTTTACGTTAAAAATTCAAAACTTTCTTGTGTCTACCAGGGCACAAATTATGGACGTGCCAGCGAAGAAGTATTATAGTGTTTTTTGAAGTGAATACATAAAAAATATACGTTATGTACTTTAGTTTTCTATAATTAAGCAAATAATTAATGATATTAATACAATAACTTAACGTTTAACATTTTTCCTTTTAATTATATAAATTACCTATAAAAAATAAGTCCCCAATATTCCACACCATTGCGTAGGAAATTCGGTAATACAACATGGTCCACTTTTGGAAGCTTTTGGAAACATAGCCATTCAGATTCGAAATGTAAACTTATATCCTGAATAACTCTTTGTGCAAATTCTGTATCGAGTTCCGATTGTGATCTAGGATATCTAAAGTTTATTTCTTTGACAGAAGTCCTAGGAAAATCGGACAGCATAATCACCAGAAGATAAGTGGACATTACTGGAGTTTGATGGAAGTGTGTCCATTTCATGGTTAAACTAGCTCTATTTGTATTTCGTACTGGCATATTCGACAGTGCCATATAATGAGCAAAATGCTTTATAGAAATGTTAAAAGTTGCCTTAAATGATGGGTCATCGAAACATGGAAATACTTGTCGAGCACCAATTGGATAAAATTGTGTCGCAAGCATCCACCTGTAAAATTTCAATGATATTCACAAAACTGACAATTATTCAACTTTGATATTAAACTAATATTATTAATTTTTTAATAATTGTTTGTATAACTTAATTTCTTCATAAATGAAATAATAATAAAGTGAATCAATTGGTGTAAAGAAAACACATAAATGTTTTGTTTAAAATATTATCCATTGTGTCTTTTATATTTTTTCTAAATTAAAATGTGTTTTCTTTATACTAATTAATTTATCTCATTATTTTGTTCACAAAAGTATTAAAGTACAATTAATAAAAAGTTAAACTTTAACGAGATATTTAATATTTCATATCACTATATATTATACTACAGAATATAATGTAAAATATCTTGTAAACTGTTAATTTACTGATATTTCTTAATATTTTTACATTTGAAGTAATTGGAAACATTATTATTATGTACAAGAATCATACAATTTATTCATTTAAAAGAACGGAGGTTACTTTGAAAATACAAGTTTTGAAATAAAAATCATAAAGTAAACCAACGTCTAAAACACACACACACACACAAATTTATTTTATTCAAAATAATATCTACTCTTTATAATCAATACAGCGACAATTATCGTCCGTTAGAATCTTTATAATTAATACAGCGACAATTATCTTCCGTTAGACGGTCACAGTGATTTAAATTTTTGAAATGTTGTTAAATGACTTAGAGGGATATTGAAATCTTAAACAATATCATCTATTTAACTCACTTGATTTATTTTTACTATTATATTATATTATATATCTTATTTGTTTCCGACACTGAAATTATAATTAAAAAGTAAAAAATTTGAGAATTTCAGAAATTTAAGTTCATGATTGTCATATAAATTAACCAAAAGTTTATTAAATATGATTCGCTTTAACAGCAACAAAACGACTCCAATCAAAGCATTGTGCAATTATGATCCTACTTTAAATAAAAGATTTAAAATATTTTTCTAAACGGATTCTTCGTTTTATGCAATCTTTAATTCAAAATTTATGAATTGCATGCACATATTAACATTTACTTACTCATTTTGTCGGGCCAAATTTTTATAGTGCATCTCAAAAAAGTTTTCTTCATTATTATCCAGAAAAGTATCGAATGTTATTTCCAACTTATAATGTCCCTTCATTAGGATAGTATCGAAAAAGAATTCATACATATGTAAATTATTATAATATGTAACGATAGTCGGTTTTATCCCATCCGTTGAATTTCTTTTATATATAACGAATGTATCTAATTCTATATATGGTTTTTGTGCGTGCAAATATATTTGATGCGATATAGAATGCAGTCTGACGAAGATAAGGCACATACCACGGAAGAATTGTTTGTTACTTTCTTCATCCTGTTGTTCTAACGTAATCTCATAATGGTATGGTATCACGTACTTCGGTAAACGAATTCCGAACAATTTTAAACTATTATTAAAATGATGTTGAATATAATCAGATTTCGAGTATTTTAATGTTAGTATAAGTAATAACAGTTTTGAGAGATTCATGCTGCGATCTTCGATTTATTTTATCTGTAAAAATGCTTCTTTATTATATACTAAAACGAATATTAACGTATGTACAACATAGAATAATTTTTACTGTAAGTTTTACTAAATAGTTAGATAAACTGCACAATATTTAACAGGTACAATACATCTGTTGAACATTTAATAGCTAATTATTAAGCACAAATACAAACTTATTATTGTGTGTTAATGTGTTATTTGATAACATTTATAATTATATTATTAATAATTATATTATTGTTCATATTATGTGGATTATTTTCAAAATTTATGTTTAATACAGAAATTGCTATTATTTTTAGTAAATTATTCGAATAACATAAATTTAAATATGTAATATAACTATGTAATGTAATTTAAAATGCTTTACATACTTTGTTGTACATTTAAGACTAGATATATATAATATAACTATATGTAATGTTATTTAAAATGCTTTACATATTTTGCTGTACATTTAAGACTAGATTTTACGAATTTGTTTTTTTTTTATAACTTACCTTATATGTATTTCAGACAATTAAGATTTATGCTTTGTAATAATTAACAATAGTAAACGATCGTTATCATAACAAACTTAGCATAATTGCAATCTTGCCAGCATGGAAGGACACCGCAAACTGATGATGATTCTTTTCCAATATTAATATTTTTATATTCTGTGTAGACAATAAACATACGAGAAGAAGGAAACTAATAACGGTCAAAGCCGTTAATTATTATTATTATATTCTGTGTAGCGTTGACATTGATTAAGGTCATTAATAAATGTGATAGTGTCTATCATCCATCACATTTATTGTTGTATAAATATTTAATATCGTCATGTGGCTAGCTTCTTCTTGTTTGTTTGTGTTTATCACTTATACGGTCTTACAAAGACTTTAATATTTGTTAAAATTTAAAATTCAATATTTTTATATTTTTTCGTTTATTACTTTTTCTATTCTAATCCAAGTGATAGTAACTTTAATTTTTAAAATAATAATATCACAAAATTACGCTAATTCAAACAAAATTCATAAAGCAATGTTCTTTAATATGTCTTTCAACATATTATTAAGATCTAATAAGATGCTATAAGTATCAAAAATTTGTGGTATTACCACGATAGTTAATTAGAGTTGTATTGTAAGTCTGAAGGATTTTCGGCACGCGTTTTAGGGGACTACATACGTGGTATATAAATTTCATACTTTGACATACCTTATATATGATCGCACTAATAACAGCGAATAGCTCTCATTAGCCTTTATATTCTTGTTATTTGAAATTTTTGACAGTCTACTTTAATTGATTTGTTTAATGTTCCTTAATAACTCAACTTCATTGATACATGAATTGTAACCTAATTTTTCTTTATATATCTAAGATTTTTTAATTTTTAATTACATAATATAATAAATGACGCTGCTATATCTTAATATTTGCTTTTGCTCAATGAGCAGTTATACATATTTTCATGATTGTATCGACATTTTACCGTGAGCTCCTGGCGTGTATGAAGCAATCGATAAGGTACAACATCCGACCTGTAAAAAGTAGACGTACCTCGCGTGCTTGGCTGCGTGAGTTAATAAGCGATGTGAATGACTGAAAGATATTTGCCAGCATTAAATGATATTCACAAGTGCGCTACAAACTGAGTTATTAACTTATTGATTACATTACATAATTTTTCTAACATTTTCTGCGATATTGGATAGTAAATCTTATGATTATCCGGAAATATAGTATTATTATAGCCCAAAAATATATATATATAATTTTGAGCTGACAGCGAAAGCTTAAACAATCATATAATAATTTATGACATGTTTATAACATACTATATATTTGCACTAGTTATAAGTTGTAAGTAACACATATGAAAGGATGAAACGTAGTTATACATATACGAGAGATATGAAATGAGAGTTTCATGAACGTAAAATACACAAGCAGTGATAATGCTTAATGCCCTTTTCTTTCCACGTTTTTATCTGATTTATACAGGAGTTTTTGTTATTTAAAATTATTATACATGTTGTACATCTCATTATAAACGTGAAATAATTTTTATTGGGACACTACAAGAAATAACCACATAAATGTAACAGAATAATTTTTTTTAACAAATAATGAGCTATTCGCAATATATACATCATTTTATTTTATCAAATAAATTGATCACTATAAATAGCTACGTCTAAAATGATTAAACATAAATTTTTGATTCGCAATTTGATCTCTACGTAACGCTATTTTTCTCGAAATGTAATCAGATAGTAAATTTAATTTGTTTCTCACGCAATTGTTTATCTAAAACAGATTAATTTTTATCAGTAATCTATTAGTAATAATAATAAAATATGTACATAATAATTTTTTTTGTACGATAACAATTCAATAAGTATTAACTTTAAATAAAAAGATTTCTGTGTACAATTATGAGTTAATTAAAACAAGATATTATATTCATCGAGATAAAATGTATAAAGGAAAATATACTTATTAATAAAAAATTGAATATGCATCTAAGTTCCATGAAATTATTTATTTTACCTCTTCAAGGAACACCTTGTGGTCAAGAAGTACATAGGAAGTACCAATAATAAATTTTTCTGTTTCTGTGTGTATAAGATATTGCTTTAATTTTTCCATCTGAAACAGATTATTTTAATGTTTGATAAAAATAATAATATGAATAGATAAAATTATAATTTACCTCATCAAGTTTAGGCGAATAATATATGTGATTAATCATAATAATAAATGTTGCAACTGTACTAACTTCCCTATGAACAAGATGTTTTTAATTGATACGAGTAATATTCATTATATTTATATTATTATGTTGTTCTATCTTATCAATATTCATTATATTTATATTACATTTATATTAATAAAGATATATATAAAAAAATGATATTACCTTGGTTTTATATTGTCATAATTTTCTTTTATGTAATCAAATATTACATCTTCTTTTGAGTTTTTTGCAACAATGTACAAGAAACGATTAACACGTTTTTTGGCTAGCATATTTGCATCCTTACATTGATTTCCAGAATTACAATTTTCTGATGCATTATTTGTTAGGTTAATATAATGGTACATAGCATCAGAAGATCTACTGCAAGATATATATTTTATTAATGCGTCATCATTAGAGTCTTGCCATTTATAGAACATTAACCAGAAAGCATCTTCATTAAATTCAGTGTACGTAAGACCGTTACAAAATGCCCATTTTTTCCACCATGGTAAAATTCTATAATTCCAAAAAATGAAACAGTCTATTAGAAAATTTATTTTTTTATAATCTTGTATCTTGAGCAAATAATTTAACAGCCAGATAGAAAGAAATGTATAACATAAAAAATTGTAATATTTATTACGTGTACGAATCAAGATTTTGAAGATAAAATTTTAACATATCATTAGCACTATATATACAGTGCATTATGTTGAAAGTACATGCCCATCTTGCAGCTTCTTGTTTTAAAGATTTAGTAAGGTTATCCTCAAAACTTTCTATATATCCAATCTTACGAAGGAGTTTGGTCAAAACATTTTTTATAGTTCCCTAAAAATTGTTAAATAATATACATTTGATATTTTTTAAATATGTTTTTAAAAGGAATTAAATGTAAATAGTCGCACACATGCGCGCGTGCACTTATTTTCTTATATTTTTCTATTATTTTCCTAAAAATAAAATGCGAATATAGAAAGTACAATTTTAAATCTTTTCAAAAATAAACTCGGAGAGAAAAGAGCACTAGGAGTTAAGCGCAGATAAATTTACGCAAACGCTGATATATATCAAGCAAAATCTATAATTTATTACAATAAGGCTCATTTTTTAGCCATCAAACACAATGTAAATTACATAAATAAATTATAAATGAAAAATAACATAAAGGGTCAAAAGATGTTTAACCACAATGAGCTCCCAGACCACCGCCTATATTTAAAAATTCATATCTCGTTAACCATTGCGAAAATTGCAAAGTGGTACAGGATTTTTCGAATTAGTGAAGTCCATTCTACCCTTATGCGACAGAATTTTTCATTACTTGTTAAACACCCTGTATAATATTTTTTGAGATTTGCTTAAAATAATTTAATTGAAAACAACATTTTATGTGAACTATTTTAAATCAATACATTCTTATTGCGTTATATATTAATATTATTATAAAATGTTATATATACCAGGAAATCATTACTTTCTGAAAACAAAAAGTAAGTTGATATAGATTCAAGACCTTTGAACATAGGAAACCATGCTACATAATCTGTTTCGTACTGTAAATATTCCACAAGTTTATGAAATGCGGACAATTTAAGTTGTCCTCTTTTAAGAAAATAAAAAGCATCATCAATAAGTTGAGCACGATTGAGAACATGTATATTTGTATAATTATTGATATCATTCAAGTAATTTGAAATGTTTAGCCAATTGTCAGTTTCATAATTAACGCGATAATATCCTGTTAAACAAATATAAAATATTTTAAAAGTAAATATAAATATAATTTGTTAAAAATATTTACCAGCTTGTTCTACATTGAGTATTATCCAATGAAAATTGTTATCGATTATATAGGTAGTATATGATTTAGTGGGATCATTGGATGGATTCAGCCATATGACATCAGGATCCTTTTTTATTTCAAAATCGTGTTGCAATGTAACTTGTGTAACAGGTATCCATGGTTTTGTTTCATGCAGCAAATAATTATCTTCCACCGAAATCATCACTGATTTAGAATTATTCTTTGTCATTTTTAACACAGGAGGATGTTTTGATGAATAAATCCAACTATCCATCCTAGATGATACATCAGACCTATCCAGTAAATAATTTTCATAAAAACATAACTATATATAGGGGTCTCAGAACTTTTGTTCCAGAATTCTCATGGGTAGGTAGAGTTGATTAAACTGTGTTAAAGAGTCATGTGCCATTTTGCAATTTTCGCAATAATTGGCGAAATATTTTTAAACATCGTTATATAGTACGGTTTACTGCCAAATATATGTATATATGCGGCAAAATAGACTGTCTACTGTACACCATTTTGTGTTGCTGGATGCGCAAGGAGTTATTTATTTAATAATAATCAATAAGTTAAACAATGGCGAAGTAAGAGTCAAATTACATTTAAAATCTAAATAACTCTGATAATTTATTCTAATATATTGCAAAGAATATCACTTATTATTTATTTATTTATTAGACAACAAACGCGCAACCTTACTTGGCAACGCTGAAAAAGAAAATACCTGCTCGCGCTGAGTGGTCATATAATGCTGCGCGTTTGCATTTAGCGGTAAGCCGAGTGGATGCGCGTTTATTAAACGATTTTTAGAAATTAATAACCTCGTTAACTATTGCAAAAGTTGTAAAAAGTTGTACATGTATTTATATAATATATGAAGTATTTTTTACCGGGTATACATATTGAATGTAGAAAAAGCAATTGTTTTCTCCAGAACATCCCAAAAATGATTGGCTGTTGCCGTACTAAGAAAGAAAATATGCATAAGCCGTAGGAAGGTAAAAATATTTTAATTGTTGAAAAGTATTCATATATATATTTTGTTTTATATCAAACCTCTCTGGAAAAAATGTTTCTAGCGCATCTTCCGAAGAGATCCAGAATTCATCGGCATTCGTCGAGCTAAGCAAGAAAAACATTAATTATATTATAATTATAATATTATCAGACATAAAAGGATAGAAGATCAAGTAATTAAGAGAAAATTTAAGAAACTGATAAGGATAGAATATAACATAAATTTGTTTTGGTTAAATTTCTTTTAACTCTCTCTCTCTCTCTCTCTCTCTCTCTCTCTCTCTTATACATTAAAGAATACCATTTGCAATGCCCGCTCAACAAAACATGACAGATATATAATGTATATGTATAAAAATATAAATGAGTCTTTTTCTGTATCGGTCATATCGGCATTTCATTAATTTTTTTTGGATTTATTCGTCTGAGCCTATTGATTATCTTGTTAATTTAAATATAAATAAAAAATATAATATGAAAAATAAATGAAATACACTTTATGATCTACTTATTTTACGAATATTATTTCTTATATTTATTACGTTCGATTTTTTTAATTAATCCTTAGTTACTTGTTACAATACTTACTAAGAATCTAGAAACTTCTCCACAGCTCTTCCAAACACTTCGTTATTAACTGTATATCGTAACATACGCAATAAAGCAGGTCCTATGGCAATATACATAATAAAGAAGGTAATTATTTAATATAGCAGAACCTTCAGCCCTAATAATGAATTTGATCTTGACATATGTCGTCAAAGTCATGATCCTGAGTGATCTTGAGAAAGTTTCAACTATCGCTTATTATTCTTTAAAAAGTTATTAACGAATAAAGTCACACGTATTTAGTCACATCTATTTAGTATAACTGGTTAAAAAAATCGATTATGCCCATCAATATTTTCAACATTCCACGCAAAACGAGGTTCAATTCAAATCTATTTGTGTAGTTTTTTGTTAATAGAATAGCTCCTTATAAAGTAGGGAGGGGGGGATGGAACTTGCTGTGTCCATGCTGTTCTACATATAATATATTGTATTTCAGAAACTTTTCAAATTCTCTTTTTTTGTTAATAACTTTAAATGAATAATGGCTAAACTATTCTGAAGATCATTCGAGGATCATGGTTAATATATAGTATCATATAGTATCAAGGTCATCATAGGGCTGATTTCTTTACTATTAAGCAATATCAAATCTTTTTAGATCGTGAAAGTTTAAATTAATAAATACCATTGAAAACATGCCCCCCATAAAACTAGATCTCGAGTGCAGCTATACAATGTGAATTTATATACTAATACGTTTGTAAATTTTTAATTGCTCGTTGAATTGTTTTTTCAGACTTGAAATGCAACACCACTAACTTACCTCAGTGTTATCACGAGTTAAATTGACTAAGAATTTAACAATTTTGATGTATTTTGCGCATCTTTCGATTTTCAAGTCTGAAAAAACAATTCAGCGCGCAATTAAAAATCTACAAACGTAGTATATAAATTCATACGCATTATATAATACATATAAAAGGACTCGAAATCTAGCTTGACCGATGTACTCTCTACGGTATGTTCTCATCTCTTATATTAAATTATCATTAATTCTACAAGAAAAAATAAAATCTTTTTTCTCGTTTCTTTTTGCTTTTATATAAGAATAGTATAAATCAAAATCTAAATGACGCGTATTTAATCCTTTAAAGTTGCTCTTGCTACTTACATTTTGCAATTTATGGACAAAAATATTAAAATAAATTTTTTTAATTTTACCTTTCAAATAATATTCAAAAGAGAAAACTAAATTGATGTCAGAGGGAGTATTGACTTCCGATGAAACAGGCTTCATGATGGATTCTAAACGAAGAGATTCTTGTTGAATTTGAACTATAAATAAATCCCATATACGAAATTCTGGATATGTCTAAAAATGAAATTTTTAATGTGATTAATTGATTGATGTGTAATAAAAATTGATATTTGCATTACTAATATATTATATGTGCATATAATATATTAGCATCCTTTCTTATTGCTATCGTTAAACTTATACATTTGAGAAAGAAAAGCAGTCAGCATTTTTGATGGAAAAAAGTAATTTTACAAAATTTAAAAACTTTCTATCATTAATTATGTATCGTATTAATAAGAAATATTGTTTCTACGACATTAGAAGCAAGCTTCATAAAGTACTATTTCTTTTATAATAATTTTTTTGTTCATTTAGTTTATTTAGTTCATTTAGTACATTTTTAGTACATAAATGATGCAGCGCCAAAGATATTATAATAATTTAAGAGAACCAACTTTATTAATAGCATCTGTTGCGAGTAACGTAGTCAGACCTTCATACAGCCACGCATCAGACCACCAACGAGGGCTAACGAGATTACCATACCATTGATATGCTATTTTTTGTGCTATTAGACGCGCGATATCTACTTTGCGTCCAACAGAGTATAATTCTTCAATATAGAGAATATCTGATTCCCTGAAAACCATTTGTCAATTAAATATCATTTTTTAATTTTTATCATATAGTTCAGTCACTTGAGGATACTTAAAACACAAAAAGGTAAAGGTTCCGATTAGAATTACGATCAGCAGAGAATTTTGTAGTGAATTTTATTACTTTTTTTTTATTGTGAGCCTACTATAGCCGTAAAATTGATAGGAAAAATAATCGCGAAAAACTGAAATTTTAAGAATTTTTATGTAATTAAAAAGGTTTGAAACCAAGAGAGTGCAAGTTATATATATATATATAATTATTTAAATAATATAAATTGCAATTTCTTTTATTTAATCTTCATATCCTTATATTATGTAAAACATCAAATTAATAAGTTTTCATTCACATTCTGTCTAATATCTTTTAAAATAAGAGCACGTATTTTCTTTAAATATTCTTTTGATTTTTATTATGTACAAAACGTATCATATTAAAATATTTATTCTGAAAGTTATTATATTTTTAATAAATTAGTTTGTTCTTTTTCTCTTTCTATTATTTATACATTTTTTACGTTAAAAATTCAAAACTTTCTTGTGTCTACCAGGCCACAAATTATGGACGTGCCAGCGAAGAAGTATTATAGTGTTTTTTGAAGTTAATACATAAAAAATATACGTTATGTACGTAAGTATTCTATAATTAAGCAAATAATTAATGATATTAATACAATAACTTAACGTTTAACATTTTTCCTTTTAATTATATAAATTACCTATAAAAAATAAGTCCCCAATATTCCACACCATTGCGTAGGAAATTCGGTAATACAACATGGTCCACTTTTGGAAGCTTTTGGAAACGTAGCCATTCAGATTTGAAATGTAAACTTATATTCTGAATAACTCTTTGTGCAAATTCTGTACCGAGTTCCGGTTGTGATCTATGATATCTAAAGTTTATTTCTTTGACAGAAGTCCTAGGAAAATCGGACAGCATAATCACCAGAAGATAAGTGGACATTACGGGAGTTCGTTGGAAGTGTGTCCACTCCATGGTTAAACTAGCTCTATTTGTATTTCGTACTGGCATATTCGACAGTGCCATATAATGAGCAAAATGCTTTATAGAAATGTTAAAAGTTGCCTTAAATGATGGGTCATCGAAACATGGAAATACTTGTCGAGCACCAATTGGATAAAATTGTGTCGCAAGCATCCACCTGTAAAATTTCAATGATATTCACAAAACTGACAAATATTCAACTTTGATATTAAACTATTATTATTAATTTTTTAATAATTGTTTGTATAACTTAATTTCTTCATAAATGAAATAATAATAAAGTGAATCAATTGGTGTAAAGAAAACACATAGATGTTTTGTTTAAAATATTATCCATTGTGCCTTTTATATTTTTTCTAAATTAAAATGTGTTTTCTTTATACTAATTAATTTATTTCATTATTTTGTTCACAAAAGTATTAAAGTACAATTAATAAAAAGTTAAACTTTAACGAGATATTTAATATTTCATATCACTATATATTATACTACAGAATATAATGTAAAATATCTTGTAAACTGTTAATTTACTGATATTTCTTAATATTTTTACATTTGAAGTAATTGGAAACATTATTATTATGTACAAGAATCATACAATTTATTCATTTAAAAGAACGGAGGTTACTTTGAAAATACAAGTTTTGAAATAAAAATCATAAAGTAAACCAACGTCTAAAACACACACACACACACAAATTTATTTTATTCAAAATAATATCTACTCTTTATAATCAATACAGCGACAATTATCGTCCGTTAGACGGTCACAGTGATTTAAATTTTTGAAATGTTGTCAAATGACTTAAAAAGATATTGAAATCTCAAACAATATCATGTATTTAACTCACTTGATTTATTTTTACTATTATATTATACTATATATCTTAATTGTTTCCGACACTGAAATTATAATTAAAAAGTAATAAGTTGGGAATTCCAGAAATTTAAGTTCATGATTGTCATATAAATTAACCAAAAGGTTATTAAATATGATTCGCTTTAACAGCAATAAAACGACTCCAATCAAAGCATTTTGCAATTATGATCCTACTTTACATAAAAAATTTAAAATATTTTTCTAAACGGATTCTTCGTTTTATGCAATTTTTAATTCAAAATTTATGAATTGCACGCACATATTAACATATACTTACTCATTTTGTCCGGCCAAATTTTTATAGTCCATCTCAAAAAAGTTTTCTCCATTATTATCCAGAAAAGTAGAGAATTTTATTTCCAACTTATAATGTCCCTTTATTAGGTCATTTTTGAACAAGAATTCATATATATGATTATCATTATAATATGTAACTTTATCCAGTTCAATTCCATGTGTTGAATTTCTTTTATATATAACGACTGTATCTAATTCTATATATGGTTTTTGTGCGTGCAAATATATTTTACGCGATGTAGAATACAGTCTGACGAAGATAAGGCACATACCACGGAAGAATTGTTTGTTACTATCTTCATCCTGTTGTTCTAACGTAATCTCATAATGGTCTGGTTTCACGTAAATCGGTAAACGAATTCCGAACAATTTCAAACTATTATTTAAATAATGATGAATATAAACAGATTTCGAGTATTTTAATGTTAGTATAAGTAATAACAGTTTTGAGAGATTCATGCTGCGATTTTCGATTTATTTTATCTGTAAAAATGTTTCTTTATTATATAATAAAACGAATATTAACGTATGTATGTACATTGTACATCATAGAATAATTTTTACTGTAAGTTTTACAAAATAGTTATATTAACTGCACAATATTTAACAGGTACAATACATCTGTTAAACATTTAATAACTAATTACACAGCCACACAAAAAAAAAAAAAAATTCTGATCTGGGGGTCTGACTATATATTTTCTATGTTTTTTGGGTCGCTGAATCCGAATCCGAGGCCCATTCAACCCCATCACATCAGGTTTTTGAAAAAACCTCAAAAAACCAATATGGCGGACACTTTTTTGGAAAATTTATCGGATTCGCTTGAAACTCGCTACTCGGGGGTTTTTGGGGTCGCTGATTACGAATTTGAAGTCAGTTT